GTCACTATGATTTTCAACGATGTTGAATACACGGCGTATAGCAAAAGAATTGAATTAGCCATTAAAGGAATCTTCCACGGAAAAAGCTCCGCCCTCATTACCACAGAAAACGATACCTTAAAGGAATCTTCCACGGAAAGAGTGATCATTTTGTCTTGTGTGTAGGATTAGTATTATCGAAACTAACGCTTATGTTCCGTTCTTTTTGCTATGCTCATGAGGCTAGGGGCCTAAGGGGTATCGTTTTTCTGTGGTAATGGAGGCGGAGCTTTTTCCGCGGAAGATTCCTTTAAGGTTGTTTATCAAAAAATAATGGCAAATGTAGTGAAGAAGGTGCTATTACAATACATTACCAGCATATCCCGGACTGAATCCGCCAAATGGTAAGCATGCAAATCCTGAAACAAAACTATTGAGCAAAGCGTAGCAGTCCGACGGAATTAGTTTATTGAGAGAAAAGACTAACCACTGTGAAGTACTCCTGCATACAGTATCACGGAACGTACTACAACATTAAATTGGGCAGTCATTTATGAATTTGAACAGGAATTGAAGAGCTGGTGATCGATTGTCGGCTACCAGTGGTGCCTTTCCGTCGTCCTAGCTCTGTATGAGATGATCTCGTCGTAATCCGGCTACGATCTGATTCGCACTCCATAAACTACACATATTGGTCATCGTGTCCGCAAAGCCATGCGGAACACTCAAATTTTCATCGAAATGCAGTTTCATAACAATTTCGGGGTCACAGCAAACTTTTAAATGCTCTACATTTCACCACATACGGCTTTGAATGAAGCTCTACACCTTTAATGTCGTTGTTGATATCTTCATTGGAATTCTTCATGAGGTTCGTGGATAATCTTTATCGGGCTAAAGCTTCGGTGGAACCGTCTTGTTCAGAGTAAGGAAGGAGCAAAACAATTTATGACCACTTGACCAAATCTGTCAAACCCCATTTAAGTGCACGATTAATGATTTCATCACGCAATCTTAAATCGGGCTACTTACCGTAACTCAAGACTCGAGACCAGCAAGGAGTCAACAGAAGAGCTCCAAAGATGGTGTTAACACTTCAAGATTTTATATTGTATAACGAAGATCGCAACACCAAGCCACAGATTATTGTCTTGCATGGTAGAAAATGAAATGCAGAAAGGAAATGCAGTGCTGTTCAAGTGCTTTGGAACTTTCAGCGTCATTCACTACAGTAGATAACTTTCAGATTTTCTTCCCGCGAGACACTTCGCGCTCTTCCT